AGAGTCAATGGGGAAGCCAGATCCACTTAACAACCGGGCTACTGACTTAAAGGAACTGCAATGGTTCACTTAACAACCGTGGCGAGAAAAGTCATAAAGTGGGGTAGAATTTACTTAACAAGTGTCTCACATGGGAAGAGAAACTTTGGGCTCAACGGTGGTCGTTAAGTGGAGGACTCCCTATATTTAGATGCAACCATTAAGCTTTAAAGAAGGGCAAGATTGTCACAAGAGGATAATATTCATCGGCTCTCAGAGAAATTTGCTATCCGTTTCCCCGAAAATAAGATCCTGTCTTATATATTTTTTTTTGCCACCAAAAAAGGACCAGGTCTTATTTTCAGGGGATGTCATCCACTGACTAACCTCACTTATGCGTGTCGCCTTCAGCCTCCTTTTCGCTGTCAGAGGCCTTCAGGAACAACTTCTGTGGCCGGCAAGGCTTTCCTGAAGGCCTCTGCAGCCAATAATAGAGCTCAGGATCGATCCAGAGCTTTGTTTTCAGCTCCAGAGGCCTTCAGGAAAGCCTTGCTGGCTGCAGGAGAAATGGGCTGGCAAGGCAGGTGTCGGGGTGTGCGAAGCCTGGCTACACCTGTCCAAAGGTAAGTAGTAGGGCAGCTCCACCCACCCCCCATCCCCACCCTAGTTTAATTTTTACCCGTGCACCATGGAATGGGCAGGATCTTAATTAGGGCTTATTTTGGGGGGTAGGGCTTATATTGGGCGCACGTGTAAAAAATCAAGCTATGACTTAATTTCGGGGTAGGTCGTATTTTGGGGGAAACTGGGTAGAAAGACAAGACAGGCACAAATTTAGCAGTTCCGTTATGAAGAAGAGAAAGAAAAAAAAAGACAAAAAGATCTCCAGTCTAGTGAGTTTAATTTGGGGGACATTTTGAAAAGTGGTTGTAATTTCCGTTAAAAACGACAAGCAGAGCAACGGTTCCTTTTTAAAACCTTTGGTAAATAGCGGGCATCTTCTTTTTTCTTTTTACAAATCCATTTATCTATCCGCAGTATCTAAATCCTTGTTCCCAAACCCACAATTTTAATCCCGAAAAGAAAGATAAAATTTGCGTCCGATTAAAAACAAAAAACAAAAGACAAGGTTTACCGATCGTACGCGAGTTTTTGTTTTGGTTTCGTTTCTTCTTCCAGCTATTCAGGATGAGAGGGAGTAAGGAAAAAAGTTACACAATGCTCAGCCCCTTTTTCATTTCGTTTACATAAATAAAATTATTATTAATATTTTTTTTATAAATATCTCTTTATAAACAATATATAAATAGCTTTTACAACTTAAATACATTTAGGCGTGACATGAATGTACAAACAGCAATTTGGATGGCAATACGCAGCTGGTTTTTCCTCAGTCTTCAGAAAACGGTCCTTTGTCGCGGGGAAGAAGTGGTGGTGGGGTGTGGTTGTGTTTCGGTGTGGGTGGGTGTTGGTGTCTATATATATGGCATCTATATGTTAGGTAAGGTAGGAAGATTTGGGGGTGCAAAAGTCAATCCAACCCTCCCCAGCCCCCCCCCCCCAAATGGTTGGCTCTGGTTCAGGTCCTCGTACCAACAGCTGTCGGTGGCCCTTGGTGACTGCAGGGGATGTCTAGAAATGTCTGCGGATGGGGTATGGGGTGTCCATTGAAAGACCTGGAAGAAAAGCATCAAAAAAGAGTCATAAGGGGCTTCGGACAAGAGGAGACAAGCAACCTGAAATTCTTAACAGTGAGAAAAAATTAACTAGTGGAACAGCTTGCCACTAGAGCCGTGATGGCCAACCTGTGGCATGCAAAGCCATTTGTGCCGGCAAGTGAGCTGCAGGCAAACTTAACTCACTGTGCATGTGCGCGCCTCACCGCTGATTTTTGGCCGGTTGGAGGCCTTTTTTCAGCCTCCCAAAGGCTTGAGGAAGGTTTCTGCAGGCTTCTACAAGCTATGTAGGCCGAAATCTAGCCCTGTTTCATCACTTCCGGTATTTCCAGAAAAAACAGGAAGTGATGAAATGCGGCTAGTTTTCGGCCTGCAAAGCTTTCAGAAGCCTGCAAAAACCTTCTTCGAGCCTCTAGGAGGCCGAAAAAGGCCTCAAATCGGCCGAAAATCAGCTGTGAGGCACAGTGCAGGTAACAGGGCGGCGGGTGGGGGATTGTGGGTGCAGCTTCAGGAGGCCAAAAAATAGGCCTTCCAGAAATACCGGAAGTGACTAAACAGCCCCGTTTTCAGCCACCCAAGGCTTCCCTCGAGCCTCCGTGGGGGCAAAAATGGCCTCAAACGGGCCAAAAATCAGCTGGGAGTCACACGCATGTGCAGTGCAGGTAAGGGAGCATGGTGGGGGTGTTGCACATGCATGCACAGGGAGGGCGGGATGCATTGCATTGTGGGTGCCAAAAGGTTCGCCATCACTGTTATATAGCATTTGAGTCCTAGCAACTAGGGATAGTCCCCGAGTTGCGACCCCAATGGACCCTGAAATTTTAACTCTTGCTAAGCAAAACATCTTGAACATGAAATCTTGCTCCATTTTATGACTTTTCCTTGCCATGGTTGTTACGTGAATCAGTGCAGTTGGTAAGTTAGTAACCCAGCTGTTAAGTGAATCTGGCTTCCCCATTGACTCTGCTCATCAGAAGGTCGCAATTGCGTGATCCAGGGACACTGCAACCATCATAAATATGAATCCGTTGCCAAGCGTCCGAATTTTGGTCACAGGACCTGCAATGGTCATAAGAGTGAAACATGGGTCCCCAGTCACTTTTTCTCAGTGCCATTGTAAGTTCGAATGGCCACTAAACAAATATGTGTAAGCCGAGGACTATTTGTGAAATGTCCATCTTAATTTAAACCTCGTATTTAGACTTCAGGGGTTACACCCAGAGAATTGCTTGCATTCTTGCATTCTCTGAGGGAGAGTTTAATCAATCAGAATAGAAGCTGGAAGGGATCTCAAAGGTCTTCTAGCCTAATCCCCTCCATAGCTGAACCTTCTCCATCATGCCTGATTCTCATTATTTCCTTTCTTTCTTTATTTCTCTTCTTCAACCAATTATCCCAAATTTCATAATACTCCGACTCTTCTTTCTCTTTTAGTTTTAAGGTCCATTTATCCATTTCAGCATAATCTAGAATTTTTCGAATTGTTAAATTCCTCCGAAGGTACGTTATTTTGTTTCCAACATTGTGCATATAGTACCGTGTTTCTCATAAAATAAGGCCGGGTCTTATATTTTTTTGAGCCTCGAAAAAACGGCTAGGCCGTCTTTTCGGGGGTGACTTAATTCCCCCCCTTGCATCCTCATCTAGAGCACCCGCAGGCATCCTCGCCACCAGCTGCTCCTAACAGGTGATCATGGCGAAGCGCAGAGAGCTCCCTACTCCCACCAAACATCTTTGCTGCAGACCTAAGACCTTTGGCACCCGCCCCTGTTGCTTTCCCTTCTGCCCATTCCGCCGCCATGTTTGGAGCTGCCGCTTCCGTGTTTGGAGTGCCGCCGCCATTTGGAGCATCGCCGCCACGTTTGGAGCTGCCGCTTCCGTGTTTGGAGTGCTGCTGCCATTTGGAGTGCCACCTCCATTTGGAGCACCGCTGTTATGTTTGGAGCTGCCACTTCCACGTTTGGAGCTGCCGCTTCCATGTTTGGAGTGCCGCCATTTGGAGCACCGCCGTCATGTTTGGAGCTGCCACTTCCACGTTTGGAGCTGCCGCCGTGTTTGGAGCGGTGGCGGCGCTCCAAATGGTGGTGCTCCAAACAGCGGCAGTGCTCCAAACGCGGAAGCGGCAGCTCCAAATGCGGACATGGCAACTCCAAACAGCGGCAGTGCTCCAAACAGCGGTGAGGTTCCAAACACAGAAGCGGCAGCTCCAAACTCAGCAGCAGCTCCAAATGCAGAAGCGGCAGCTCCAAACGGCAGCGGTGCTCCAAACGTGGAAGTGGCAGCTCCAAACGCAGCGGCGGCATGGGCAGAAGGGAAATCAACATCGGCGGGCGCTGAAGGTCTTGGGTCTGCCGCAAAGGTGCTTGGCAGGAGTAGGGAGCTCTCCGCGCTCTGCCATGATCGCCTATTAGGAGCAGCTGGTGGCGAGGAATTGCTGCCCGTGGGGCGCTCCTAGCAGCAAGTCCCCCCGCCCTTCCCCCCATTTTGCATGTTTTAAAATAGGCCTAAATTTGGGGGGAGGGGCTTAATTTCATTTTATGCCTAGAAAACATGCTGGGTCTTCCTCCTGGGGGAGGTCGTATTGTTGGAGAAACACGGTACTTTCCTTATTACTGTCAAAATATGAAGTAGAATATATTTAATCTTCTTCCTATTCCCAATAGAAACAACTCTGCTTTAAATTTTATTTGCTCTTCTGCTATTTCTTCAGTCCAACTCCAAATTTTGATCCAGTATTTTGGGGCTTCCGGGCATGGCCACCACATATGGTAGAGGGTACCTTGATTTCGTTTGCATTTCCGGCATCCACCATGCCTGATTCTCATCAGATTGCAAGTCACTAAAAGCACCTTCAATTGATTTCATCCTCATGCACACAAATCATTAAGAGAATAACAAGAGGAATAGAAGAGGAAATTTAACAGAATGACAACAGTTAGAAGGGACCTTGGAGGTCTTCTAGTCCAACCCCCTGTTCAAGTAGGAGACCGTATACCATTCCAGGCAATTGGCTCTCCAATCTCTTCTTAAAAACCTCCAACGATGGAGCCACCTACAACTTCTGGTGGCAAGCAGTTCCACTGGTTAATGGTTAATTGTTCTCAGTCAGGAAATCTCCTTAGTTCTAAGTTGCTTCTCTCTCCTTGATTCGTTTCCATCCGTTGCTTCTTGTCCTGCTTTCTGGTGCTTTGGAGAACAGGCTGACCACCACCGCTCTTCTTTGGGGCAGCCCCTCAGATATTGCAGCCCGGCTATCACATCACCCCTAATATTAGATTACACACCGGAAGGTCAGACAAGGAATAACGGATGGCAACTGAGCAAGGAGAGATTCAGTCTGGAAATAAGGAGGAATTTTCTCTGAAAGTGAGAACATTCAACTCATGGAACAGAAGTTGCCTTCGGAAGTTGTGGGAGCTTCATCCCTGGAAGCTTTCATCAAGAAGAGGCTGGACTGACATCTGTCAGAAATGGTGTAGGGCAGGGATCTTCAAACTTGACACCTTTAAGACTTGTGGACTTCAAGTCCCAGAATTCCTCCTCCAGTCACGTGAGCTCAGGTATTCTGGGAAGTTGAAGTCCACTTGCCAAGTCTGAAGACGCTTGGTGTAGGGTCTCCTGCTTGGGGTGGGGGGTTGGACTAGATGACCCACAAGGTCCCTTCCACCTTTGTTAATCTAATCATGGACGGAGAAGGAGATCTAGCAAAAACCTCCAGTGGGTCGAAGCTCCTGCAACTTCTGCAGTTGGGATTAATTCATTTTTCATGGAAAGCAGAGGCCAGCAGGGTACAAAAAACCCGAATTGCTAATGGGATAACCCTCGAGAAGGCGGATTCCATCCTTCTGAGCATCGCAGGTGGACAATTTCCCCTTGCTTCGCCCAACCACCACTGCAGCAACGACACACGGCGCATGAGCATGGCTAATATTTCCAAAGATCTTCCTTTTTAAAAATAAATAAATAAAATCCACTTCAGGGAAGAATCACAAACACCATCCTGATTCTTTTTCAGAAGTTCCACAGACACACACACACACACAGACACCAACAACGTACAATTCACACACACCTTCTGTAGCTTTTTGTGCACAAGCGGTGGCTAGGCAGAACAATTCACCCCCCTGCATCCGTCTGGTTTGGTGGGAGGCCCTAAATTTAGGATGCTCACACCCTAAATTTGCTCTCCAAAGTATCTGAATCTTCTCTGCTGCCAACTTGAAAACACACAGTCCTCGACTTACAACATGTTCATTTGGTGAGTGGCTCAAAGTTATAACGGCATGGGGGAAAAAAAAGGGATTTATGACCGGGTTTGCCCCCCCACACACACACTTAGGACCTTTGTGACAGGCCCCATGATCCAAGTTCAGCAGCTTGGCAACCGACTCGTACTTACGACGGTTGCAGTGATCCCCTTTTGCGACCTTCAGGCAAGCAAAGTCAATGGGGGAAGCCCGATTCCCTGTTACTAATTTAACAGCCTGCAGTGATTCGCCGAACCACGGTGGCCAGAAAGGTCGCCAAATTTCACTGGAGAAATGACTCGCTTAACAACAGAAATGCCGGCTCAATTACGGTCATAAGACGAGGACTGTCTGTAGGATGCTAACTCTACGCCAGGACATTTTTCAATCTTGGCAACTTTTTTAAGACTTGGTGGACTTCAACTCCCAGAATCCTCCCCAGCTAGCAGTGCTTACTCTCTTGTAATCCCTTCTTCTGCAATCTCTCTCTCCACTTTAGGAGGTTAAGAGCAAAAAGAAACAGACACGGCTGGCTGGGGAATTCTGGGAGTTGAAGTCCACCAAGTCTTAAAGTGGCCAAGTTTGCAGACCTCTGCCTTAACTGTTAGACTAAAGACTTTGTGGACTCCAACTCCCAGAATCCTCCCCAGCCAGCAGTGCTTACCCTCTTGTAATCCCTTCCTCTGCAATCTCTCTCCACTTTAAGGAGGTTAAGAGCAAAAAGAAACAGACATGGCTGTCTGGCTGGGGAATTCTGGGAGTTGAAGTCCACCAGTCTTAAAAGTTGTCAAGGTTGAGAAATGCGGATTTATGCCGATTTTTCCTTCCAGCTGTTCGCTGAATATTCCTGCTCATCCCGCCTCCTTTTTAAGCCACCTGCTTTGTGCCAGGGATTTCCTTTTGTTTCCCCGAACGAGACTGGTGGCTCGGAGAAGGCGAAGCGAAGCCTGCCAACCTAGTATTAATATTCGGCAGCCTTTTAATAAAGGCCTTAATTAAGACCTACAAAAGAAAACAGAGAGAAGGATCTCAGTGGGGAAGATTAGAGAAGCACCTGTCCAGAAGTTCTGTAGGGCTTTAAGAAATGGCTCTAAGAAACAGCAAAGAAAGAAAAAGAAAGAGAGAGGGAGAAAGAAAGAAAGAAAGAAAGAAAGAAAGAAAGAAAGAAAGAAAGA